TTGTAGTAGTGAACCTCCAGCTGAGCCCCGCCCCACAGGTCTTACCGTTGCCCTGTTCAGGTGAAGGTCAGGATTACTGGAAGCTGTCCTGTCTACCTTCTCCTGTAGTGGGGTAAAACCATCATCAGTGGATCCTATCAGGTCTTAAGAATGGCAATCCCCAACACCTCTTAACCTCGTCTCCCTGGAAAATTTAAGTTTCTTCTTGTCAAAAGAAGTGTCAGACAGGAACTGTGTGTGTGCTACAGTACTCGATCCACACGGATGTAAGGGTTTTTGTATGTACAATGAAACTTCAAAATATATGAAAACATTCTGATAAAAAAATTAATAAGATGCTGGTGTAAATGAGGAAAGCCTAGGAAATAAATGAGGCTAACTTAAAGCATTTCCTTTGTCCAAAGCCTGGCTCCAGACCCAAACAGCATATTTCTCTTTCTAAGCTCCCTTAAAACATACTTTCAAGGTCAGATTCTGATTCTCTACTTTAAATAGTAGACAAGAAACCACATGCTGATGCAGACAAATGCCTGTGTGCAGGCTCTGTTGTGGTGATGCTCACTTTATTTTTTATATTTGATTCACTGCCTGGCACATTGCGAAATCACAGACAATATGAATGAAAATGCTTAAATGGTTTGTTTCAAACTGCATGTACTTTTTTTTTTCCATTTTGGTTTTTTAATGTTTGATGCATGTTTAGATATGTATGTAGGTAAGTACTGGCATATTTAATTTTTATTTCATATGAGAATAAGACTTCAGGTTTTGTTTTTAATTAAACTTTTTTTTAATTGTGTTAATGGTTTACAACACTGTATGTGTTTTAGGGGCTACAGGTTCAAACTTCTACAAATGTATGTTTTCATAGCATGCTGTACACGACAGCCCCAATAATTCTCCACCCTGCTCCTCTGGGTCCCTCCCTCCTCTATTCCCACCTTATCACACTCTCTCAGTTTTGCAGTCAGAGGTCAAGTGATTGTTATTGATTTGGCTTTATCTAACTGTTTTGTTTCTCTAGACGCCACACACAAATGAAACCAATTGGTATTTGCCCTTTTCCATCTGACTTATTTTGCTGAGCAGGCTACTAACCTCTTCGGCCCCATCCATGTCATTATCAATGGCAAGAGTTCAAGACTTTTTTTATAGCTGGGTACTATTCCATTGTGTATATATATCCCATTAAAAATGCAGGTTTGATGGCAGAGTTAAAAGCACCTATTTAGCAGTTGCCAAATAATAAATTTGAAAGGAGTACACCCTACTACTTTTTAAAATGTAAACACCCTCCAAATAAAGAAGTTAAAGTAAAACATAATCCCTCCGCCTAAAAGTCCCCTGACTGGAAAAAGAACCATCCCTAAACTATAAACATGAATACAAGGAATCTTTATTCTTCCATGTAGAACAATATACGTAATGGTATGCTAAAAAAGAACAATGCTCTATGTCAAGAGAAGCAAGGTATACCGCAAGCAAAGGTGATTATGAGAGTTAAATAAAAAGTGTTTAAAAGGTCAATGGGAACCTTCTAATAATTGTAATCAAGTTCTCTAAGTCTGAAGGAAACCCCAATGCAATTGGCTATTGATCCAAAATTGGCCTAAAAGCAAAAGTATGAGCTCTAGTGAATTAATCTAGGAAATTATGCAGAACAGACTGTGTATTGTTTTCTAGTTTGGACTGTGAGAAATGCAGAGTCATTTTAAGCTTTAATCTGAATAAGCATTTGATTTATTCAATAAACATATTAGAGTTTTCATTTTCTTTAAAAATGTGCATAAATACTAATAAGCATTATTTTAACATATACTTTTTCGTATTAAAAAAAAAATGAATGCATTGGGGTGGGCTCTGTGATTTAGTCATGCCTGCTTAAAAGAAATCTAGATAGCAGAGCTATCTAGCACTGAGATACCACACTGCAAGTGGTTGCAAATACTCAAGTTATAAGAAGAAATAAGTCACTTCTGCAGACACATCTTTGCAAAACCATGCACACTGGATGCCCCCAAACACTGCCCATGGTGGTCTGCCACAAGGAAAACTAAATGGCACAATTGCTTCTGTGCTACCTTTATACAATTGGCTGGAGTAATGGTAAGTACTTACTGCTTGGGCATAGGCACTGAGGGCCTGCTGGGAGATCTTTGGGTTCTGGCCAGTATTGAAGTAAAGAGAAAGGTATGCATTCCCCAGAATATCTAAAAGAAAAACACAGTTTCCAGTTTTACATGACTAAGAGCTGAACAGACTGAAAAATCCACAAGTCTTCTCGAATCCATAAGAGAAGGAACAACACAGAGCAAATCAATGTTCTCAGGGCTGGAGACACAAGACAGGTGAATAGAGGAAAGCAGACGCTGTCACAGGAAACTGCACTGGGGTAGGAAAACCTGCACTGTAATTGACAAATGGCTAAAAGTACAGAAGGGTGGGAGTTAAAAACTTCAGCAGGACCCAGTTATAAGAGCCCCCACAATTTTTTGAGATTTACCTCCAGCAGTCCCCCTGACTGAAAAAAGAACTATCCCTAACTAAAAACATGAACACAAGGAACCTTTATTGGAACCTTTATTCTTCCATGTAGAACAATATAGGTAATGGTATGCTTTAAAAAAGCAATTCTCTATGTCAAGAAAAGCAAGGAAGCAGTGAAAGTGATTATAAGAGCTAAATAGCAAACAGCAAATACCCTATCAAATACTGAAGAAAAATTCCCTCCCACTTCTGGCAGGGAGGAAGAGAAAAGGAGCCATCTGGAAACATGCTAGTGTGATATGTTCTTACTAAGAACAGTTAACCAGATCCTAACCTAGGGTATAACAGAGCCTAAGTGACCTGAGGAAAGGAAATTACTAACAGCAGTTGGTTCTAGCCTTCCACAGGAGGAAAGGGAAATACCAGCTACAGTCCATTCAACTGTCCTGTGCTATCTACGGGTATGAGAGGGAGAAAAGAACTGAGAAACGCAGGGTAAATGGCCTGAGGGCCCAAGTTCAAGACTTGAGTCTCCTTCAAATGACTATTTGAAAGGCCTCACAACTGACACAAAACTGCAATGACTCAAGTGAACCCCAAATCCCACTGGCATAAAGAGGCAAAGATGGAAACAAGGGGAAACTTGAACAGACTGTACTTTGTCCTGCTCATGTAGAAATGTAAGACTCCTCTCTTGGATCAAGAGAACCAAGAGTTCCTAGAATAGTGGTTCATCAAAATACCTTTCAGGCTTCTTCAAAACAAAGATGCCCTGGCTTCACGCTCAGAGTCAGACTGAACAGGTGAGCTCCAGATGATTCTGGTGTGTAGCCACGGTTCAGAACCACTGCTCTAGGAACTTGATGGAGATGGTTTGAGAGCACTCACACCAGGAACGGCCATCATGGATATCCATCTGCACGGCCAGTTTAGCTTGCTGGACACTGTCCATGACGTGGCGAGAATGTTCATCTCCAGAATCAGTTCTCAGCTGGCGAAGCACCATTGACAGGTTTTGAAGGGAGACTTTGTTCTTGCACTACAGATGGAGAAGACAAGCTCACCTTTCTGCTTCTACGTCCCCATTTCCTCAATCTTCTTCTAAACCTAATGTTTCACTCTATTCTTCCTGTCATGTTTCTTAGATGCCCCCCTCTACAAGGATGAACTTACATACTAGCATTTCTTTGCTCTCATCTGACACAAGCTATGCAACGTCTATCGTCTGACAGATTCTGGGTAGATCGGGAAAAGCTCTGAAAAATCAGACTTTCCACTGCTAACATATGTTATGACCTCCCTTTTTTGTATAATCATAATATCAAAATATTCTGAGCAACTCTCAGCTTACAATTGGATTGCCTCAGCTGCATAAGGCGCTGCCTGGCCCTGACAAACAAGCACTGCACCAGGGTGAGAAATTCCTCTGAAGTCAAAAGTGACTTGACAACTGGCTGATCAATAAAAGCAAAAGGGCTGTTTATGCAAAGTCTCTCTCACTGCCGAATGGAGGAAAACCCAAATCTTATCATTCTACTATCTCACCTAGCCTTCTATTCAGCTTCTAAGAATTACTCAAAACTTTCTACTGTCTGGCCTTTAGATGTGGAAATTCATCCAGGTTGTCTGTTTTAGAGCTAATCAGGTTTTCTACCTGCTATACTTCAAAGGAATTCACACAAGTCTTCTGGCTAGTCTTTCAGGATTCTACTATCTAGTCTTTAGATAAGGAAATTTCACCTATGTCTCCTATTCAGAGCTAATTACGCTTTCTACTGTCTAGACTTCAAGAAAACTCACTTAAACTTTCTAACAAGTTTTTCAAAGAACCTTACCTTAATTTGATTTACAAGAAATTTCCTCTTCCTGCCCTCACTTTACTTTACCCCCTAGGATGTCTCTATGAGAATGAAAGCCGTTAATAGATAATGTCTCAGGGACTTTATTTTGGTTAATCTTCACTGTGGTAAATATAGTAATATTAGTCTTAAACTTTGTGAATCTATGTACCTATTTTCAAACTTGATAGATTGACTTTAAAAATGTTATAATCTCAACTAGAGGTCAAAAAGACCTCAGACTATTCTTAGCAAAAAGGTGATAGTGATCTCAGCCCATTTCATATACTAATGTCATCCCTCTGCCTGCCTGAAGTGTATAAAATAAACCTCTGCTGAAGGCAGAGCAGGAAGACTTGCACCCAACTCCCATTCCCGTGTCTTCCTTGTGCCCACTCCCCTTTTTTCTCTTTTTCCCCTTTTTCTAGCAATATCCGCTCGCCGATGCCATTCCCACCTTGAGACTCTGCCTGTTCTGCCCCCCAATAATCCGTGATCAGGGACAAAGTCTCCGACACTCATCTGCCCTGAACTTAACTCCTCCACCTTCTTCTTCAATTAGAAACCTGTCCTTGTTTTCCTCTACCATAACTGCCTCCTTCCCTCCCTACCCTGGTTCTATTCTCCCAATACAATTCTACTTTCATATTCACATTCTAGGGAAAAATCACAGAGCCTCAGAATCCCATCTTTCCTGTGTTTGCCACGGGGACAGCGAGAGGCTCACATGGGTGAGGGCTCCTGAGAAGCAAGTGTGGGCAGCAGCAACATCCCCTTTCTTCCAGTACACTTCACCCAGATGGTTCCAGGCTTCCACTAGCTCAGGCTCCAGTTTCACTGCCTTCGACAGAAGCTCCTCAGCCTTAGGGCTATAGTCAGGAGTCACATTCAGTGCCTTCCCAGTGAGCATCAGAACCTGGGCCTTGCCCTGGACAGAACCTGGAAGAAAGGGGAAAAGATAAAGGGAATTGGAAAAACCCAGGCAGTCTTATAGGACACTTTCTCTCAAAAAGAATAACCCCAAGCCAGCTCTAGAAATTAAACAGTTGAGGAAAATCTCTAAGAACAAACCACTCATTAAAAGCCTACCACATGCAGAGTACTATATGAGGTAACAGGGTAACAAAGAAAGCATGATTCCTACCTTCGAAAGACTAGAAAAGAGAAAGCATACACATGAAAAATTAAACCAATAAAGGAGGGGGTATATGCCATATACTCAAAGGACAGACTTTAAAAAGTGAAAAGAGAGGGCCTTTCTGGTTGCCCAGGGGTTAAAGATTTAACCCCCTCATCACTGCAACAACTTGAGTTCGATCCCCGGCCAGGTTAGTGACAGGAGAGGGGCAGTAGACCTCTCCTGTCTCGCCCGCTGCTCCCCTCAGCAGTGTGTTTCAGTACATCTGCCTGCTCTTCTCCCTGTTCTGTCTCTGGTGAATCCACTCACCCCCACACCTCTGACCTACACCCTATTGCTTCTACACAAAAATAAACTTTAAAAATTTTTAAAAGTGGCCCTCCCTGGTGGTGCAGCGGGTTAAAACACAGCATTAAGAAGCTAAACCCACTAACGCATGAGTTTGATCCCCGCCTGCCCCGGAGGTGAGCACATGGCTCAGCAGACCTCTCCTGACCCGCCCGCTGCTCCCCTCAGCAGTGTACTTCGTTGATCTGCCTGTTCTGTACTCCACTCTGGCTCTGGTGAATCCGCTCACCCTCCGCATCTCTGACCTATACCCCAGTTCTGTATGAATAAATAAATAAATCTTTAAAAAAATTTTTTTTTTTAAGTGGAACAACCCTACTAGTTTGAAAATGAAAACAAAGACACAGAGGCAGGAATATATATGGTATGTTCGTGGTATAATGGATGATTCAAACTGAATGAAACAAAATGTTCTTCTGTGAGCAAGTAGTCAGGGACAATACAGAGGGAGAGTATCAGACAATGAAAGCTTGAAGACCAGGTTAAGTTACTCAGACTTCAACCTATCAATAGTAGAAATCTTTGAAGAAGAGAGCTGAGCAAAGAGTTAGACAAAAGGAGAAAGTCAAATGAGTGAACCAAAGACTCAAAAACAGAACCACAGCCCTGGTCACTGTATGTCAACATTGGGGAAAAAAAGAAAAGAAACCAAAGACCAGAGGTCAGCTATGCTATTATGGCAATATCGCAAACAGTAAGTTCATTTGTCTGTTCCACGGCATTTTCTATAATCAAATTTTAGTGAAAGTTGTTCAGAGGCCTGAAAGGATGCCATCCCGCACAGGGGCCCTTAGAAGAATTATTCTGCTGTACCACCCTGAAGGGGACACAAAAAATATCTGAGTCAAGAGAAAGAACAAAACTACCATTTTAGGGAGGGTGGAGGGCAGGGATCACATGCTGTTTCCTGAACTCATACCTACTACTTTCTCCATCTGCTGCAAGGTCTTCTCCATCTCCTCCCGCACATCCTGTTGCTTCCTTCCAGCATCCTCAACACTATGTGTCTCGAAATAGCAGTCTCGAAATGAGTAGAGTTGATCCACCAGTTCCTAGGAAGCAGGAAAATGGAGTCATTAAATGGAAAGAACACTAGACAAGAAAATGTGAGGCTAGCCACATCAGTTCTTGATCTAGAAATACTGAGTCTCTGTCTAACAGTGGCACAAGAAAGAAATGGAGCAGCAAGGACAAGCTATCAAAATGCCACAGGCCATGAAGGAAAGTGGCCTGGGCCCCGCCCCCTCTCATTCTGCCCCAGGTCAGTCTCTGGAACAAGATGATAGTTCTTCTCTCCTGGCCACTACAGGAATTCTAATGTGACAAGGGCCTTCATACACGGAAGCCAGGGAGGGGAAAACACTCTGTAATGAGATAAAAGTTGGTAAGATCATATTATCCAGCGCTGGGCTCAAAAGTGTAAGACTTCAAAATTTACCTGTAACACCAGAATTCCTAACGAAACCACCTTTACTGGTATCTGGAAAATGACCTAATGACCTTTGTGAATATGTAAACATTTAAGGGTCACTAATGTCCATGAGCAACAGACCAGTTTAAGCTTAAAAAACCTTCATTTTTTTTCAGGGTTTTGTTCTTTAAATACTTGTGGTTTTTGTTTTCCTTTGTTTTTGTCAAGTCACCTTCTATTTGTCTTGCACTCTTGCCAAGTAAATGCTCCTTTTCTTTCCTCTTTTAAATATGTCTATCTCCACATTTTCCTGTGCTATCAGCCAAAGTCTTTCCATTACCTATTCTCTCCTGAAATCAACCAGCTGAAGAAATACGTGACTCACTTCTACCAAGGATTCACTATTCTCAGAGAACATCCTAAATCCACCGCCTGTCTTCACCCCACTGTGTTGCTCCTGGGCTACCTACTGGGACTGCTTAATTGGTCATCTTCTTCTACTCCTCCCCATTCTCCTCACTACAGTTACAGTGTGACCTGAAAGAACTATGTAACATCACAAACTCTCAGATGGTTTCCCATTGCAAATTAAAGAAACCAGCAGTTCAGAAGACTGCATGAGCTGATCTTCCACTGCTCATCTTACCACAAACTGCATTTCTTACCACTCTCCCTCTGCAATACTCAACGCTTTCATTCCACATTGGCTTTCATTCAGTTCTTCAAATCCAACAAACTTGATCCTACCTTGGGGCCTTAATCCCACCTACTCCAGGCACTCTTTGCCCAGACCTTTGCAGGTTTATTTTTCATCATCATGTAGCTCTCCGTTCAACTTCTCGGAAAGACTTTCCCTGACTGCCAAAATTAAAATAACCCCTTCCTCCTCTGATTCACTATTAAGTCACACTCTTACTTTTCTTCATAGTACTTACCATTTGAAGTTATACAGTCTATTCATTAATTATTTGTTGTCTGGCCTTACCATTAGAATATAAGCTCCCTGAAGTTTCCTCAAAACACTAAAAATTTATCTACCATATGATCTAGCAAGTCCCCTTCCAGAAATCAACCCAAAAGTCACAAAAACACTAATTTGAAAGGAAACCTGCACTCCTATGTTTATTGTAGCACTATTTGTAAAAGCTAATATATGGAAACAACCCAAATGCCCCAAAGCCGATGAATGGATCAAGAAGAAGATATAGATACAGCAGAATATCACTCAGCAGTCAAAAAGATAAACTCACACCATTTGCAGTACTACTGAGAGAGCTGATATGGGTTATGCTAAGTGAAGTAAGAAGAAAAATGAAAAATATGGTTTCACTTACAGGTGGAATATAGGAAAATGGAACAATGGGTCAGGAGAAAGACAAAACTGGCAAGCTCACTGATATGTGGTACAAAGCAAAGGAGGAGAGAGAGAAGGGTCAAAACAGTAGAGGGAAGAACACAAAGGATTGTGGTGATGGTTCATGGGTACTATAGATGTGAGAGAACTACATCTGAAAGGAGAAATGAAATACTATACAAAAATGAATGATAATATGAGAAATTACATAATTTTATTATTTAAAAAATATATAAGCTCCATGATGGAAGAGGCTTAATCTGTTTTGTTAGACCTTTATCTGAGCACTCCCATAGGGTCTGGGACATGATAGGCCCTCATCAAACACGTTGATTGAGTGAACTGAGTCATCCCTGTCTCTACTACTTATGTGTTATATTGGGTTGTGGGAGAAGTCATGACGCATTTTTGTATAGAAAACAAAGAAAAAAACACGTCATGACTTTTCTAACAACCCAGTACTTAAAATCGTACCCAGACGAAAGTGGACAAGCACCCTCTCAGTGTTTTTCCAATCTTATTGTATATATAATTTCCAGCACCCAGTCTGCACAGACTCTGATTTTAAGTTTTAGCATAACTCAAAATCCTGCATTTTATTAAGTCTCCTAGAGAAGAATAAAAGAAAATGATCTGTAAAATATGCTTTGACCAAGTTCCTCATCTACATTCCTTCTACCCTAAAGTGTCATCCTCTACTTCCTTGTTCCCCTGCACCTTTCCCACCCACCTCAAGACACCCCAAGTATCCTCTACCCAGCTGCTTTACCACAAATGAAGCCAAGAAATGACAATCCTTGGCAAATATTACAATCCATTTTCTTTTGTCCCACAATCAATCAGCATGGCTACAAAACAGGAATTTTAGACAAGGCCTTATTCTTTGTTTTTAGTTACCAAAGCAAACATATAAGAAATTGGTTTTGTCAACATTTTTAATAACTTTATTCTCACGACAAAATTGGTATACATGTTGTTAAAATTCAAATAGCTACATGTAAAAAAGTGGAAAAAGTCCTTCTAATCTCCCCAATCTCAGGAATAGCCACTGTTCAGTATAACTTTTCAGAATTTCTTCTATACATATACAAACATATACCCACTGTTTCTAATATGGAGCTAGGATTAAGAATCTCTGATGCCAGTCAGTCCCACTAGAAAATAAAAAAAAAAAATTAATCAAAATCAACTAGAAGTGAGATAAAGCTCACAATCTTAAAAGTGCTGTTATTTTAACCTATTCAAGAAACAAACCACACCAGTGGAAGACTTTTAGCCAAGTTACAAGCCTGTCATAAGGACAGCGTTTCAAAGTCCACACTGTTTTACAACACAAAGAAATTTTTGTCTGCTGTTTAAGAAAAATCTTGGGTCATTCAAAAAAAAGGCAAACAGGCAAGCAGTTACTTAGATCCGCCCTACCAAATACAAGAGACTAAGTCCAAGTCACAACGACAGTCATCTGTGGCCTGAATGGAGTCTGGATCCTTCTACATCTGACCCCAGATTGGGGCTCTACAGTTTGCAAAAACATCAAAGCTGCCAAATCCTCGGGGTAGGGGTGGAGGGGGAACCAGGATACCTGTGGTGCAAGTCTTTACTGTGACTGTGGCCACTTTCAAAGCAGTAAAGAACTAAAGAAATGGCCTCTGCGGGAATCAGAGCAGGTAATAATAGCCCCTGCAGAACTGCCAAACACGTGTATGCTAATAGTTATGGGAGAATCCAGACAGAAAGGAAAAAAAAAAAACTTTCTAAGGATGTGCAAGAATAAAGTTAGTCGCAACAAATCCTTCCCCACACAGGGCTGAAAACAAGTGCTGTTCGGCCAGCTGCCCCAGGTCCCAACAGTGGCTGTGCCCCTCCCCTGGCGGACGAGGCTGCCCAGCCCGCAGCGGCTGCACCCTCGGGAGTTGTTATAGTAACCGCACTGACACAAGCCACGTCGTGTGCGTGCCGAGGAATCCGGAGACGCTGCATACCTTGGGCTCTCTGCTTCTTCCCGAGCAACAAAAGCAGGTGTAGATCTTAATCTATGAACCCACCTGCAATTTCTGCAAAATCGGCTTGACTTCCTCCTCTTCATCAGCCATCATTTCCCAGCCACTCTCGGCTTCTCCGCCCCAACTTTACAACCACAGAGACTCACACCCACCTGCATCACGGAGCCACAGCGACATCTAGAGTGCTGGAGGCTCACCTGCCCCTGGGTAGAAGAGCAGAACCCAGTGCCTACAGTGCAAAGGAGATGCTCTGTACGAACACTTCGGAGTTAGTAAGACTTTTTCCCAAATCCTGGAAGCAAAATTTTCTCAGCTTAAATGCATGTATATTTTGCTTCATTTAATTATAACTGGGTTTTACGCCTAAAGAAGAGAGATTAAGTTAGTTGGTGCCTATGTGAAAAGTTGAAATGTAAAGCAAGTGCGCCCCCTTGCTTCTCCACCGCTTCTTCTTTCTACTGCCGTACCTAGTGAAGTTTATGTGGTCATTGGTTACAGACCTGATCAACCTCCTTAGTGCAGCAGCTGCTAAGGAGACTCTGGTGCCCGCCATGGTGGATTAAAAACCCAGGGAAAGTCAAGATGGAGTAATGATCATATGAATTTGAAGGTGGGGGATCAGGATGGTTTTGTGATGCAGTTTAAAATTAAGAGGCATACCCCACTTTGTAATCTACTGAAAGCCTATTGTAAACAATACGGTTTGTCAATGAGATCAGATTCCGACAGGCACCCACACTTCAATAGACACATATGTGTTACTGCAAATGGAGGATGAAGGTACTGTTCATGTATTCCAGCAGCAGACAGGGGAACCGTCTACTTTATTCCTGAGTTCTGTTCATCCAAAGACTACATCCTCAACTAGAAACAACTTCATTCCACCACTTCCTAATCCCTGCAGTATGGTTTTCTCCATGTTTTCATTTTCCCATTCACCTATTTATTGCACATATATTGGTATGCAGTAAAAAAAAAATGCGGTACAATGTAAATCACAAATTTTACCATGATTTCCCATATATGAAGAATTTTATACGCAACATCCGAATAAATCTACACCTGAGGTGGCATTGTGAAAGCTGCCATTTATACTCTAGGATATTAGTACACTAGTACTGCTTATATATTGATAAATATATCCAACAGGAAATATAAAAAACAACTGCCCCTGAAGAGGCAACAGGGGCTGATAGTGGACAAATTTTTGACTGTATATGCTTCTGAATTTTTTATCATGTCTAACCTATTCAAAAAGGCAATTTTTTAAACTTTTAAAAATAATATAGTAGTTTATTTTTAGATTATTTTGTGCTTTTTCCATCTCCGTTGTAATCCCCGTGGGTTTCTCATCACCAGATCACCCGTGTGCCATCACCCTAGTCCCGGGCACTTCCCCCCAACATTTTTGATCGAAAAGACAAATTTTTTAAATAAAAATTTTGTTTCCATATAGACTATCTCTAGCAAGGATATAAGTTATACTGGCAACAGCAATTGATTCCAGAAAGAGGAAGTAAGTGACCAGGAGACAGATGTGAGAGACTTTACCCAGAATTCCTTTATTTTATATTTTGAATTTGTACCATGTGGATGTATTAAGCACTTCAACTAAATTTTTTTTTTAATTTAAAACACTGCATTTAATATTCCTAACAGTTTCTCTTTACTTTCTAATTATACCTGACTTTAAAATAAATCCATGAACCCAACAAAGTTTCAAGGCAGAAATCGTGAGATTTAAATCATTTCCAAAAAAATTTAAAATGTAGGGAAAACATAGCTCCTAGTCTATAAAATTAGTGTGATTTTAAAACTTTTAAATCAAGATTTTTCATATTCTTCCTCTGACACCATTTTAACTGGGCACAGTACAAATTTTTTGAAGAAACTATATACTATGCACCCGAATAAAACATTACTTGCTTTTAAATTATACAATGCAAAGGTATTCACTGCTTTCCTGATGATTAAAAATGAAGTATCTTCATATGATTTCAATGACTATTATCTAAACACCAATGGGATTTGGCATCTAGCATTATTTACTTCCTTCTTCAAATCAATTAAAACTAAATGGCGCAGCAGACCTCTACTGTCTCACCCACCACTCCCTCAGCAGTGTACTTTGTTGATTTGCCTGTTCTGCTCCCTACTCTGGTGAATCCTTTCACCACCCCTGCACCTCTGGCCTGTACCCCAGTTCTGTATACATAAATATTTAAAAAACTAAATCATAAAACATTAACAAAGTTTATATTATTTAAAAAAATAAGAATGTAAGGATAATCTAATTTAATTAATAGCTCATTTTACAGATACAAAAGCCAAGTGTAAATTCAACCTCACACAAACAGCATGGGCTTGTACATAAAGAAGCATGGCTCCAAACCTACAGAACCCAGTGCCTACTGTACAAAGGTGGAGTGTATTAACTAGAACCATGTTTTGCCCAGTATGCTTGCAAGTCTTACCACTGATAGGATGTAAAGTTACTGAAAGTGTCCTTCAAATTTCTTTATCGGTTCTACATTTTAAATGTTATCTGTGATAGTAGTTGAAAATGCTTATTACAGGTCCTCCTGGTGGCACAAAGGGTTAGTGTGCGAAACTATGAAGCCTGCTGCAGCCACTGCAGCACTAGTTTGATTCCTGGATGTGGTAGACCTCTCCTGACCCACACCCTGCTCCCCTCAGCAGTGTATTTCAGTCCATCTACCTGTTCTGCTCCCCACTCTGTCTCTGGTGAATCCTCCCACCCACCAAACCTTTGGTCTGTACCCCAGTTCTTGTATGCATAAATAAATAAATCTTAAAAAAGAAGAAGAAATAAGTAAACTCAAGACAACTGGCAAAAAGGTAAAGTAATTTTATTTTAGAACAAATGTCAAATAATCAACATTAAAATAACTATCAATGTGAATTATCTTTAAGTAGAAATATGAACTGAACATACATCAAATTCTCCTCTCATTCAATGATATGAGCACTTCCAAAAGCACAAATCTATGAACAAATACAAATAAATGTACACATTCAAATAATAAGCCCAAACTCACTCACCATTTCTTGAGATTCTTAACATAATATTAACATAAATTCTTAGCATAAATATACTGGCAGAATATCAGTTTAAATAAACACACACATACATATATCCATAGATCCCAGAACCAAATCTGAGATGTAGATTTATACATCTAAATGAAATCACTAAAAGTAAAGAGAAAAAACATTCTTAGCTTACTTTAATAAGCTAAATTCTTTTTACTTTAAATGCTCTGCTAGAGACTTGCTGTTGATCTAATTCACGACTTGGGGAGGCAAAACAGAAAAAGCTGTTACTGGGTTCAGGTGCTGTGGGCGAACCCACAAAAAATGGTCTGAATTGAAAATCTCCATCTCCACCACAGCGATTTCGAACTGGTGTTGTGTCCAAAGGAAATTTGGAGTTGTTCCCTAGGAAAGGATAAGGGAAGAAAGAACTCAAGCAGCTATTTCCTTTAGGAACAAAAAGCCATTCAATGAATATTTTAAAAGAACTCAACTCCAGTGACACAAATATAAGCCTAATTTGAATAAAGAAATATGATGCATCCCACCCCCTCCTCTGACCGTAGTATATTCCATTCCTTCTTTAGCACAATTTCCAATATCAGCCACAGGCTCATCACCAAAAGTAATTTGTTGTATGTTTTTACTAAAGCTAGGAAACTTACAAATCATAATCATTTACCTATTTGATCTACTTCGAAAGCTTATCATATATGTCACGTGTGTTTGTACAAGTGTTTACATACACACACACATATCACTTCTGTCTCAGATTCTTTAAGAATCAAACTTTTCTAAAAGATTGACAGAAACATTCTAGAAAATAAAACTATGAAAAATTGTCATATAATTATGACCCAAGATCAATTAGAATAGCCTTAAAAAAAATCAGACTATACAAGAATAGTTATCCACTTTGAGGTAACATTGGTAGCAAGAAGTAAAAAGGTAAGTATACACCAAAAACAAAACAGGAAAGAACTGGTTGGTAAATATGAAAGATATTAAAGTTAACATGGATAGTGACAAAGAAGAAGAACATCTACAATGCCCTTACACAATAATATGCAATACGTTGACTAAATTATGATATATGATTAACTAAAATATCTGTAGAAACTTATTTTTGCTTCAATTCTTATATCTGATATTCCTCCTATCATTACTTCATGACTTTTCTAGCACATAGTTTGCTCCCTCACCAAATCTCTTTCCTCAGCTAATATTAAAATTAAAAAAAAAAAAAAGCATTTAGGAAATGCTACTCAAGAAGCTTCACTTTTTGTATGCCAAAAACAATTTATATCAATTGCACAGCAAAAAAAAAAAAAAAATCTATTGCATTCTGTGTATCTATTGCAGGATAAACATAAAAATCAGGAAAAAATATGAGAACTGTTACATCTGTCAAAGTACCTAATTAGCATAATAGAGCTATCATCTCAGATAATGAACTTCCAGAGAATGGGAATCCTATCTGGACAACCTCTATATCCTCATTGCCTAGGGTCATGTCTAGCAATCTGGTATAGGAAACATGTTTGATAAATATTTGATGATTGAATAAATAACATGGTGAACCAACAAAACAACCAATAATCACTTAATAGTTTTGCAATCAGTATTGCCAAGTGAAAGAAACTGAAACATGGTCTTCTTGGAAGATAAGAAATGGTTGGGAGTACGGGTTCTGGAGAGTTCTGTGCCCTTACCCAATTTAATTAAATTTTCTGTGCCTCAATTTTCTCTGCTTTAAAATAGGCATGACAATATCTATCTCAGTTTTGAAAACATGAACACATGTAAAGTTATGATAGGACCTAGCACTTAGTAAGGGATAAATAAATGGCAGCTAACAATTACTTCAACAAAATAGCTTTGCATTCAAAATAGAAATTTGCAAATTTACCTAGGAGATTTACTCTGCTCAAACTGAAGATGTAACTTAAATGTAAGGAAATAAAATAAATAACAAGTAATGATGTGTAGAATCACAGACATGAACGAAGAACCCTAGTGCTTACCACCACTGCACGGCCCTTTGGAGTCTAATGACTGCTAGGAACTACACAGAGCACAAGGTAAAATACCACTGTTTTAAAAAACAGGCTTTGAATATTACACATTCTTTCTTACCTACTGGAAAGCCAAAAACACCAGATTGTGCTATCATGTTTGGTTCCAGGTTACCTTCTTGGTTAGCAATAGTGATGTTACGTAGCCTAAGGCTATCATACAGGCCTTGTAATTTTTGATACTGACGATTTCGCTCCATAAGTTTCTCAGAAATATCACTGAACTTTTTCTTGTATTCCTCTAGCACTTTCTTCATGGAGGTGACCTCCCCTTTCATAGAGGTCAATTCAACATCTTTGCTCTGTATTTGCTGAGTATATATCTTTTCCATCTGTTTCAGATGGCCCTCAGCCTTGCTGAAATTGTATTCTTGATAGAGACGCTCCTGATGTACCTGTCCCAAAACATTTTTAAGATAACACTTATAAATTTTAAACAAACAAAAAAGAAGTGAGTCATATTTATAGAATCAGGCTAAGAAGTAATCAGAATATATAAGATGGATATTGTAAAAAAGTAATATATAACTAAATGCTAGAAAAAAATCTAAGGAATACTCTCATGATATTACCATTATATTAACAAAAAAAGTGAGTATATATCTAACCTTAAGGAGTGACATGTAATCCACAATTCCTTAAGAAATATAAATGATATTTTCAGAAATCCATAGCATTGATTATAAGAGAACCTTCAATTATTCCTGCCTCCTAGTACTTATATCCTCTCTTAAAATGTGGACAGGACCTGGGACTAGAATACAGGAAAAAAAAAGACAGGATATCACTTAAAGAGCACATTGCATAAGACTATATCTCTTGCTGGCTTAGGAAGCAAGTAGCCATGTTGGACCGTCTACCAAAGTAAGTAGCAAAAGCAGCCTCCTGGACAATAGCTAGCTTTTAAAATACTGAAGTCACAATGACTTTAAACATAAGCTTTATATTCTCAACAAAAACTAACTCAAAGAGTACCACAGGCCTAAAAGTAAAACAAAACTTTAAAAATCCTATAACATTTGAAAATCTAATGACTTTAGATTTGTTAATAACGGTTTAAATATAACACAAAAGCACATTCTATGAAAGAAAAAATTGATATGGTAGACTTCATAACGTCAAAAATTTCTGCCCTGTTAAAGGCAAGATGAAGAGAATAAAAAGACATACACAAAGACTGAAAAAACATTTGCAAAACACATGACAAAAAGTTTTACATTCAAATTCTCAAAAATGTGCAAAGAATTCATAAAACTCAACCATAAGAAAACAACTTAAAAATGAGCTAATGATCTTGACAGATAATTCATCAAAGATCCACAGATGTCAAATAAGCATATGAAAAGATGCATATGTCAGTAGGTAAATGCAAATGAAAACAATGAGATAGCACTACACATCCATTAAAATGGACAAAATTCAGAACACTAAATGCTGGTGACCATATAAAGCAATGACAACTTTCATTCACTGTTGGCAGGAATGCAAAATTGTAAAGCCACTTTGGAAGATAATTTAGAAGTTTCTTATAAAATTAAACATACTGTTATACGAGACAATTTAGCAATCATGCTCCTTGGTATTTACTCAAAGGAGTTAAAAACTTGTCCTGCACACAGATGTTTATAGCAGTAATTAGAGTAATTCATAATTACCAAAATTTGGAAGCAACCAAGATGTCTTTCAGCAGGTAAATGGATGTACTACAGTACATCCAAAGAAAAAACATGAAGGAAACGTAAATGAATATTATAATGGAAAGAAGTCAATCCGGAAAGACTACAAATTGTATGACTCCTATTACATGACAGTCTTGAAAAGGTGAAACCACTGCAATAGTTAAAAGATGTGGTTTTAAGGGGTTGGGAAAGGAAGAATGACTAAATGTTGCATATAGAACTGACAGGGCAGTGAAATTATATCATACTGTCATAGTAGATATATGTTATACATTCATCCAAGCTCACAGAATGTACAAGGAGAAAACTGGATTTGGGTGCTAATGATGTGTGAATGTGGGTTTCTCATTTGTGACAAAGTACTACTCTGATGGGGAATGTTGATAATGAAGGAGTGGGGGGGGGCATGAAATAAATGGCAAATCTCAGAACCTTCCTCTCAATTTTGCTATAAGCCTAAAACTGCTTTAAAAATAAAACCTATTAACAACAATGACAGGGCCCTCATTCTGACAGTCTCCTAGAAAGTGAAAGAATGCTGTCAACAGCCACATGAACTTGAACACAAGTCCTCCCCCAATCAACACCATGACTGCAGTTGTCTGAACTCTCAAGCCTCAGAAACCGAGGTTATAAAATGTGTTATTTTAAACCACTAAATTTGTTATTTAAGTCACAAGCTTGTTACACAGCATTAGACAACACCTGCACACAGAAACCATTATGGTTTTCTTTGGATTCACAGTCCTTTAAATATGAAAGTATCTAAGAAAGTAAAATATGAACACTCATAAATCATTTTTAATCTGTCTATTCTACAGTTTGATGTAATCCATCAAGTCTGGCTTACCTAACTCTACTACGTGGTTGGTTCCACAGCAGCCTGTACTTATGGGAATTAAATGCATTATAATAATGTTTGTGTTAAAAAAAAAAAAATCTATCATCCCTAAAATGTAGTTACCTTGAATCTCATGTTTTTGTTTTTATTATTGTAAACATAGCACCTAAGGTACATGAAATAGAAATGTTTCCTGACACTCAACAAGTATATGTTGAAAAAATAAAGAATTTTAGTGTGTGTGTTTTGAATAACTCAATAGGAAAAAAAAGAAAAATTCATTCTTCGCTACCTCACTAACTCATTGACCAATCCCTCCACCTCTGAAAGGAAGATAACATCACATTTATATGTCCAATAAATACTATCCTCCAAGTAAGAATTTACTTTAAGATATGTGTTTATTTGTCAACACATTATTTACTCAAACTTAAGACCAGTAACTTTATTACTTACTGAGAATACATAGGAATGAAAACTTGGGATAATTTAAAAAATACTGCAAGTTTTAGAACTTTAAAATGTATTTCCTTTCAGGAATTTAATATTAACAAGTAATTCAGGATATAAAAATGCACATTACAGCACTCTTTTTAACTTAAAAACAATCAATGTAACCATTACTTACCTTTAAATACTTTTTAAATATTTAATAAAATATTCATAATAGAATATATTGTCTATTTTAAGAACCCACAGAAAGTCTGTGTGACATTAACCAATATTGTACAAAAATAACATGATTATCTCTGAATGACAGGATTATGGGTAGATTTTTTCCCCTCTTCCTTTTGGATTTTCACCAAGAAACACTGCTTTTGGAAAAAAGAAAATAATTTATTTTAAAAAATCCTCCATAGTAATTAAAAATAAATACAAAATGAAGAAAAAGCATGAGAAGCTGCACATAAGCAAAACTCACAGTCTCCAGAAAAATTAGCCTTAAATACTAACCTGATACGTCCAGAAGGCCAGTGCCCGGGAGCTAATGTCCAACACAATTTCAGGCCGAAGTCCTGCCAATACCATGGCCTTATACTCCTCTGATGGACTGAGCTCTGTGCGGACAATATCTAGCTTTCCAGAAAGGGTACTGTTGCAGGCAGGACAGATAGCAGGTGAACGACTAAACTCACCACTGCCATGCTGGTCACAGAAGATGTGAGAGCAGGCAGTGACCCAGGCATAACCAGAGAGTTTGAGGCGACATTTGCGATAATTACAGAGCAGCATATCTTCACATAAAGACATAATACTGAGGTCTCCAGGTGCCGCAAGGAATCCTAGTAAGGAACACATGGAAAATCAAATTGCAGTGCAATAAAAGAAAAAAACGCATGTTTTCATTTTATTATTGCATACATTTTATTATAGCATACATTTTATTATTGATTTATATCCATTACAGTCCACAGATTGTACTGATTTCATGCAATATTGTGCTCCTTCTTTATGCACACCACTACAAAGGCCGTGTAACAAATTGTAAAGAAAAAATTAAAACCCTTTCTAGCTTCGAATCTTATTAAGGTCAAAAATATGTCATGGGAGGAAAATATTGGCATATTTAGGAAATAGAAACAAACGAACATTTTTGCCATCCCTGAGAAAAATATGTCTAAGGCACTAATTTCAGTCATTCTTTCTCTCAAAGGATTTCAAGCTACTATGAGGCTTTTCATGTAGGCTGATTTCTCAGATTCTGTGCTGTCCTGACTTTAAAGAGAAACGTGATAATATCAGATGAAGGTTTGCATAATTCATCCAAGAAATTGACCATTATGAAGAATGAATAATCTGCATGACAGATTTTTTTTCATCATTAAAAAAAATTCATCTATTTATACAAAAATCGATGCAGTGCTACACGCCTATCTAAAACATTTGTAAAACGAAATAAACAATCCGAGTTAACTTACTTCTCAATATATTGTCCATTCTTACCGGGGTTTTGCCCAAATAGGGGGTGATATCCCAGATGTACCAAAACAATTACATGTTATATAAACTAATTCTGACACACCGAGGAAAATACATACAGTGGAAATATGTTCACGTTTATCAACTGACAATAATCACCCAAGAAAGACGTCTTGGCCTGAAGAGTGGACAAGGCCACTGACAGCTTTATCCCAAATATCCCTTTTGGGCAAAGTCTCGTTAGGCACAAGGCACTTGGCAGACGCCCTCCCAAAAGCCTATTTTACCTCCAGGAGGGTAGTCGACATCGGGGAAGCAAAACTGTGGCACAATTTTTAAGCTGAGATTCTCCTCAGGCAGCGTGTGGGACACAGCTAATCCCTAATTTTCTAGAGCCGATCTCGAGAGTGCCCCAAGTTGTCGAAGGGCACGTTTTTGTGACTAACACTCAGGAAAACTTCACTTTAGAATTCTCCTGGTCTGCTTTCGGCACGTCATAGAGCAAATAACAGCTAACATAATACAAATAAAATAGTAACCTGAGGCGCCAAGAAAATGCGCGGGAAAACGCCGTTGCCTCCACGACTCCTTGAGGAGGGAGTCCTCTCCACGCAGAGCGTAGCCACTAAATCAGAGGCGCATGCGCAGAGCCCCCGAGGGGGCGGGACCTTGCCGCTGAGGCTCCTGGGAGCCAAGTGGTCTACGTAATGGCAGACACGTCAGCGACAGACGGGCGTGCAGCTGCATGAGCCAGTCTCTATTGTAGTCTCTACTGCCCTCGACAGGAGTACATTGAGGTGTTTGCCCTGGGGCACTTGGGGTATACCAGGGAGCTGCAGAGACTTTGTTTATAGTTTCGGGAAAAAATCCCCCAAATTGTGCGATATGTATCATCCAGCGCCACGTTGAGGTCGATGCTCGCATTTTTAAAAAGTCCGTCTTGGAGTCGACTCATCCTCTAGATGTTAAAGGAAATAGAACTTTGACTTATAATTTGCTTGATGATGAACATTTATTGCGGCATTTTAGACGAAGAGAGCATAATCGCAGCTTGAGGTGACTGCCTATGTGCCGTCCAGGTCTTGAAATTGCTGCTGTACCGGGCCTACCCTACTGCTGTTACCTATCACTTTGTGTCCTGCTTACTGTGCGATTTTCTGTTTAATAGATTAGTATTTACACTAGAAAACTATGTGGAAGTGAAACCAGGGAAATAAGCCTTTTTTAATACCATTTTTTTTGTAGCCACTCACCCAGATGATAATGACCCCGTATGAATTAGGAAGAGATACAGTCCCAGTAAATCAGCAACACAGTGCACACCAAGCCCCTTCTTTAAATGATAACTCATCCTCATTAAATAAATTTCTGCTAGTCTATTTCTAACTTTGATAGCAACTGGAAAGTATCTTGGCCCTGTATACATTTCCAAAAATCCATTTGACAGTTTGGAGGGGTAACTTAATTCTAATTTAGTAGTTCACATTGGATTTAAAGAAAGCTGGTGAATCATGAGTAAAACATGTAACTAACTACTAACATCTGTTTTAGCTATCTGAACCACTGTGCATTTTATGGTTTTAACTATGCAATAGGTAGAACTATTAAAAGTAAAAAATGGATAGTCTCATTTAAAATTAAAAACACTGCATTCAAAATTGACTTAAACTTAGTGATCTAAGGAATCTTAACAGTGATTCCTCCCTACTTTATCTTAATATTGTGCTAAGTGCTCCCCACCTAATTTTCTTTGCAAATTGTTTCCAATTTCCAATCCATGAATGTGTGTATGCATATAAAAACAATTACTTTGCTAACATATTTTCTAGGATAAAAAAAATTTAGGAGGCCCTCCCTGGTGGCGCAGCGGGTTAAAGCACAGCATTAAGAAGCTTAAGCCACTTCTGCAGGAGTTCAATCCCCGCCTACCCCGAGAAGATGCACATAGCGCAGCAGACTTCTCCTGACCTGCACGCTGCTCCCCTCAGTAGTGTACTTCTTTGATCTGCCTGTTCTGCTCCCCACTCTTATCTCTGGTGAATCCTCTCACCCTCTGCATCTATGGCCTGTACCCCAGTTCTGTATGAATAAATAAATAAATCTTAAAAAAAAAAAATTTAGGAGGGACAACTTCTAGGATCCTAGTAGTCTGAACACCAGGAACTGATGTGACATATGTCCTGAAGCACCAGCTAGCTCTAGGGTGCTCTGGGAAATGAGACCACTGAAATCAATAAAGTCCAAATACATAGACCCTGGGCCTTCCCTGGTGGCACAACGGATTAAAGCACAGCACTATGAAGTTATCCAAGGCCACTGCAGCACCAGTTAGATTCCTGGCCAGAGAGGTAACTCACATGGTGTGGCAGTCCTGACTCACCTGCTGCTCCCCTCAGCAGTGTACTTCAGTAGATCTGCCTGTTCTGCTCCCACTTGTCTCTGGTGGGTCCTCTCACCCCCACACCTCTGGCCTATACCCCAGTTCTTGTATGCATAAATAAATCTTTTTTTTAAATGCTGAAAGAAAAATATTTAACTCTTTTCCTTTGCTGACTCTTACATTTTTGTAAGCTGCTGCTATGAACCATTTCTTCTGAGAAGTCAGTTTCCATCCATCTTGAAGAATCATCCATCTTCACACTGAAAAGAAAAAGATACTTTACTTTTAACACTAACCCAAACAATGTGTAAAAAAAAAAAAAAATCACTCAGTAGAAAACTGTTTAAAATTTTAAAACAAATGACTTCCAAGTATAACATAAATCCAAGAACCAATTGACAAGAGCTCTTTCTTTCATAGCCCTTAATCAGTGCTATTTAAATACTATTGCAATCAAAGAACTTTCTAAACTTATGTTTTAAAATTAGTTTCTTTAATTGCAGGCATATCTTCTTAACCTGGCATACACCATTTGCTTTGTAATTGTTTGACTCCGCAAAAATCAGAAGGCACTAACGGACAGCCGACCCATCCCATGGTGCCCTGAGTGAAGACAAGTCATCTTCCATGTATGATGGACTAAAATCCCACTGCCTAAGGCTTCAGGTAGTGAGAGGAACAGCCATCAAAGTTTACCTCCAAACATTTTAGTAAAAATTTTATTATTTGAAAGAAAACATTTATTAAAAATAAAGACAAAATGATCCTTTTTTTAACACCAAATAATTCTTATAGCAATCACTATATCTAAATGTTTTAAGAATCAGCCCAAATGGTGGCACAGTGGGTTAAAGCGCAGCACTACAAGAGAACCACAGCCACTTCAGTGTTCAATCCCCAGCCTTGGAGGTGGTCCACATGGTGTGACTGACCTCTCCGACCTGCCCACTGCTGCCCTCAGAAGTGAACTTATGAATCTGCATGTTCTGCTCCCCACTTTGTCTCTGGTGAATCCTCTCACTGACCCTATTCCTCTGGCATGCACCCCAGAGTGTGCATAAATAAATAAAAATTTAAATATATATATATATATATAAGGCCCATGGCCTTTTTTACAACTGAGGTGGAAAAAGCACAAAATGATGTAAAAATAAATTATTATATTATTAAAATATATATACATATAAAAGAATCAGCCAAAAACTAGAAAAAGCATTAAATATCAACTAATCCATTTAATTTCTCATTTAGATAAATAACTTGGCATCAAAAACAAAGTCAACTAAAGAGTATGTTATTAAAGCAATTATATAGATGGATACATACTATCATCCTTTTACCATATTTTGACTAATTCTAGGCCTAAATTAGGCTTTTAGTATTAGGGGTAAAGATAATAATGAACTGGGAAGGCATGTAAGCAATTAATAGAATTTCTCAACTTATGCAAATTTCAGAAATTGCCAGGTAGTGTGTCTAAGATAAACATACAAATGAACCCTGATGGTGAAATAGTTAACATCAACTAAACACTAACTACATGCTTGACAACATTCTAAGGCCCTCACATTTATATATAGTGATATACCATATCTAATTGTCAAAGTCAAATATTGTCCCTTTAAATTAGGCATTATTATTGTCATCATCTTCTAAGATATAAAGACACCATGATGTTAAGAAATTTGCCAAGTTGTGTACTAATTAAGTGGCAGAAAATAGGTTTAATCCCAATCTGACTCCATAGTACAATATAGTATAGTCACTGTATTCTACTTCTCAATATCTTTGATTTTTTAAAAAATAAGATTTGCAGCAGCTTAGTAACCATAAAAAATCACAAAACTTAATTTTCAAGTATTTATCTACATCAAAGCTTCTCAAGCTTACAATAAAAGAAAAATATTGTCATCAATGTCTATATGCCTCTTCTGCTCCCCAATCTGTCTCTGGTGAATCCTCATAGCCCCCACATCTCTGGCTTGTACCTCAGTTCTCATAAACATAAAATAAATAAATCTTAAAAGAAATTTCTCATCACAAGGAAAATATTGTAACTGGGTATGGTGGTGGTCTATAACTAGACAACATGGTGAAAATAATGTTAACTTTATCTCAATTTAAAAAAAATACATTGTCCAATATCACCTTTTAAATTAATTAATATTAAACTAAATATTAAATTCCCATCATACCAGCCAAAATTAAATGCTCAATCACCACTATGGCTAACAGCTACTATATTGGGTAATCCAACCATTAAACACTAACACCTACAAGAAATTTATTTGACAGCATTGCTTTAACAAATGGGTATGCATAAAATAAACTGACAAGATGGAAGTAGTAGCAATCATTCTTTAAGAATTCCTACCACCTGTGAAGAGCAAATGAAACAATCTCACACAAACTTTGTAACTCCACATTTACCCCCAAAAATTAAATAAATTTCCTACGGATACATAGCTATTAAGAGGTAGGATTTAAATCCATTCTGTCAAAATTCCATACTTGCATTTCACCATGCCACTTCCAACATACATAAGCAGAGCTACAAAAGATTGCTTGTTTTAGAGTATGGGACTGACATACTGACTTAGTAGGTCAAAAACAAAGAGGTGTTTTAAGTATCTCAGAAGTAATCAAAGTGTTATTTTACTTTTTTTTCATCTTATACTTGTATAATGCTTTAATTATGTAAAATGTTTTCAGATCAGCAGTATGTAATGTTAACTAAAGAAAAACAGGTAGCAAGACATAACGTTAAGAGTTTCTGTAGCTTGAACAATATCTACCTCAAAACTCCGTGATCCAGGAATTTCTTTCAGGAAAGTAATTACAAAGATAAAACATCTTTGTTGTCTCATCTCACAACAAACCCTTATTACAATGGGCCTGGTTATTGTGTCCTAGCACCTAGTACATAAACCCTCATCTTAAATGCCTGGTTCCTTCCCCTGTGTTTGTCATTCCTCACAGGATTCTAGTCACACTTCATCAAGGATCTCTGTACCATGTGAATGTGATTTCATATTTACTGAGTGTTAGCAACCTAAAGTAAATATTTTGTAACTACCCCATAAACAATCAATGACCCACTCATTTTATACACTGTGGGTAGTAAGTACTTCAAAGTACTGCTGCTCGTGGCCAAAGGGTACATTTTATGTGAACAAATTCCAAAGGGTTTGTTTTATGTGAACAGATGCTTAGGAAGGCATCACACAAGCTATACATTGATTAGTACTAAATCAGTTTCCATTTTAAGAGTGTATTATCACTCAGTTATTCCTAGTTCCATTCCAGTTTACTCATTGCCTACTGTGTGTCTATCATTATAAGACACAATGGTAATTCAAAATCTATCTTTTTTAGACTTAAGAGACACATACATGACTCTGAGAATGATTTTTAAAACAGCATTGTCTTTTAGTCAAAGTTCAAGTACTTGCCTTCATGGTACCATTAGCTTTTTAACCACTCTTACTGAGAATGTACAAATCCCAGCTTACTTGACTTTTAGA